GCCCATGCATACATGAATCGTGCTCTCCTCGATGTCATACAATAATACCAAGTGGCCACACATGCAAACAGTCAATCAATTCTTTCAATCTTCGATATCAAACACGAATATCAACCACAAAGTATCATTAACATTACTTGGCATAACAGAATAAAATAATTTAGTTTTCCAAAATGTCAAAATATTTCCTCGAATTGAAATCATTCAAATCATTTCCTAAAAATGTCAATTTATATGGTAAAATCCAACATTGGCATCACAATATGACGTTAGAAATTTTTCGAAAATAATAATATTTAATTTTCGGAAATTAATTATTTAATAATAAAATATTAATATTTAAATCCGAAAATAATAAAATAATATTTAATTCCGAAAACATTTCTATTTAACAAAATAATCAACAATACTAATATAATTGATAACCTATCACCACATTCGCGATAACTTATCGCAATCCAACAATAGTCTATCGAACTATTACCGATAACCTATCGCCTAATTCTAATTAACTAAACATAATCTTAATTAAACTTAATCTAAACTACCCTAAGCAAGTTTAACACCCTAAACACGGGATTAGGGGTTAACTTACTCGGCTAACGCCGGCGACGACGCGAGGACGACGGCGGCGACAAGGGCGGTCCGCGGTGTCCCTCGGAATGCTCCGGTGAGCGACGAACGGGCGTGGCGAGGGGAGACGCTCCCGTAGTGGGCCGGCTCTGGCCGGGTTCCGTGGCCGAACACGGCGCAAGGCGGTAGCGGCATAGGGTTGGGCTAGTCACCGGCGAGGCGCGGCCGAACGAGCAAGCAAGCGTGAGCGAAAGCCGAAGCGCGGCGCCGGGGAGGGTAAAGCGGCCGGCGAAGCCTGTCCGCGGCGAACGAGCGCGGTGAAGAAACGGCCGCGCGTGGGTCGCTCCGCGTGGCCTCGGGCTGTTCCCGACGACCGGGACAAGCAGTGCGACGGCCGGAGGTGGACGGCAGAGCCGGGCCTCCGGCAGCCGAACGGAGCCGGGTAGGGCGAGCTCGGTCCGACGAGCCGCGGGTGTGGCCGGCGACGGGCAATCGCGGCGACGGGTGGCGACCGGGCCGACGAGAACGGGCCGGCGGTGGCGGCAAGTGAAGAAGCTAGAAGCGGCGAAGCAACCCAGCGAAGTAGAAGCCCGGCGTAACGAAGAAGAAGCACATGCACGAAGAAGAAGCACGGCCAAGAAGGAAAAGAAGGAAGAAAAAAAAAACAGAGAAAGAAATAAAAAGGAAAAGAAATGATGGGCTTTGGTTGGGAATTGGTGGGAGTCAGAGGGGAGTGGGTGAGAGTCAGAGGCGTGGAGGGGTGTCGGCGGGGAAGGGGGAAAAGAGAGAGAGAGAGAGAAGCAAAGGTCAAATCGTAATAATCGCGATCCAACGGTCACGGTTTAAACCCGAAAAACGATCCGACGGTCTCCGAAAAATCCTAATTAATATTTTTAGGATTTGGCCAAAAAGGGTGTTAATAAAAACACACTGCGAGGGTGGTCTACCAGTCCAAATTCGCACCCGGTCAAAAATTCACTTTTCACATATCCCGGGTAATATCGAGATTGGTCACACTAATATCGACACCGTCCAATTAAATTTGTTCCGGAATTCCAAGAAATTCAACACCAAAGTTTGGGCTCTAATTAACGGCCAAATTCGATCGAATGCGATTCTAGCGAAATCTCAATTTTAAAAACAATAACCGGGAGTGATCAGTTCCCGGGCGAGATTTTACTATAAGCACACTGATGAATTACACGTTTTATAAATCCCAAAAATGTGCCAAAATTCGGAATGTCACAACTCTTTCCCCCTTACAAAAATTTCGTCCTCGAAATTTATACCCCAACCCAACTATTCAAACAAATGGGGGTATTGGTGTCGCATCAACTCTTCACTTTCCCACGTGGCTCCCTCGGTCCCATGATATTGCCACACTACTTTGACAAGAGGAATCGTTTTGTTTCTTAATACCTGCTCCTTCCGATCCTCAATTCTCACGGGTTTTTCCACGTACGACACTCTGTCATCCACGTCGATCTCTTCGTAGTTCAAAACATGGGTCGGATCCGGTTCATACTTTCTTAGCATAGACACGTGGAATACATCATGTACTTGAGCCAACCTTGGTGGCAATGCTAGACGATATGCCAACGCTCCAATTCGCTCCAAGATTTCGAACGGTCCTACATATCTTGGGCTCAGCTTGCCTTTCTTGCCAAAGCGCGATATCCCTCGCATCGGTGATACCTTGAGGAACACATGATCTCCGACCTGAAACTCCAATGGTCTACGTCGCCTATCTGCATAACTTTTCTGGCGACTTTGGGCAGTCCTTAGCCTATCCCTGATGACTTTAACAGCATCCGACGACTGTTGTACCAACTCGGGTCCCGAAATCTTTCGTTCTCCAACTTCGTTCCAACAAACAGGAGTCCTACAGGGTCTGCCATAAAGTGCTTCGAAAGGTGCCATTTTGATACTCTGCTGATAACTGTTATTGTACGCGAATTCGACAAGATGCAACTGTTCTTCCCAACTCCCTTTGAAATCCAAAACGCAGGCTCGTAGCATATCCTCGAGAGTCTGAATCGTTCTCTCGGATTGTCCATCTATCTGCGGATGAAAAGCAGTGCTGTACTGCAGCTTTGTTCCCATGGCGCCTTGAAGACTTTTCCAGAACGTGGCGGTGAACTTGGGGTCTCGATCTGACGTGATCGTCACCGGCACGCCATGGAGACGAACTATACGTCTCACGTACAACTCAGCATACTTGTCCATGGCAAAGTCCTTTCGCACTGGAATGAAATGAGCAGACTTTGTGAGTCTATCTACCACAACCCAGATGGAATCATTACCTCTTTGGCTCCTCGGTAGACCCATCACGAAATCCATCGTGATATGCTCCCATTTCCATTCTGGTATTTCCAGAGGTTGCAGTAGTCCGCCATGTTTACAGTGTTGAGCCTTCACCTGTTGACACGTTAAACATCTAGCCACATGCTTGGCAATATCTCCTTTCATGCCATTCCACCAATAATATTGGCGAAGATTTCGATACATTTTTGTCTTGCCTTGGATGAATACCGTAGTTTCTTGCGATGAGCTTCTCGCTAAAATTTCCTCTTTAAGTCTTTCATCATTGGGCACACACAACCGTCCACGAAACTTCAAGATCCCATCATCGGATACTTGAAAGTCAGGTTTCCTCTTAGATGCATCCATTTGCAGAATCTTTTGCAGTTCAGGATCCGAAGGTTGCGCTGCTTTAATCTTAATTTGTACTTCGGGTTCAATTCTGAGAGTAGCCATTAAACTCGAGAGGTGACTTACCTCGAACCTAAAATCCGAGTCCCGGAATCCTTCAAGCAAAATCCATTCTTGAACCATCATATGCGCAATCGAGGACTTTCGGCTTAACGCATCGGCTACCTTGTTAGCCTTACCCGGATGATACAAAATGTCGCAATCATAGTCCTTCAGCAACTCCATCCATCTACGCTGTCTCATATTCAATTCTTTCTGCGAAAATAGATACTTTAAACTCTGATGATCCGTATAGATATGAAACCTTTCTCCGCACAGATAATGCCTCCAAATCTTAAGCGCGAATATGATAGCAGCCAATTCCAAGTCGTGCGTTGGGTAATTCTATTCGTGTGGTCTTAATTGTCTGGACGCATATGCCACAACTCTTCCATGTTGCATTAACACACATCCCAATCCTTTGTATGACGTGTCGCTATAAATCTCATATCCCCCTGAATCAGACGGTAACGTTAGAACAGGCGCAGTAGTTAGCTTCTGTTTAAGCTCTTGAAAACTAAGCTCACACTTATCCGTCCATTCGAACTTCGTGTCCTTTTTCAGTAATCGCGTCAAGGGCATGGCTATAGCAGAAAACTTTTCCACGAACCTCCTATAATAGCCAGCCAATCCCAAGAAACTCCGAACTTCAGTTACAGTCGTTGGTCTAGGCCAATTCATAACCGCCTCAATCTTAGCTGGGTCTACTGAAATTCCTTCCCCAGAAATCACGTGTCCAAGGAAATCCACTCGAGTTAACCAAACTCGCACTTACTAAGCTTGGCATACAATTTATGATCTCGAAGAGCCTGCAGCACTGTCCTCAAATGCTGTTGGTGTTCCTCTGAACTCTTCGAATACACCAAAATGTCATCAATGAACACGATCACGAACTTATCCAAATACTCCTTGAACACCCTGTTCATCAAGTCCATAAAAGCTGCAGGTGCATTTGTCAGACCAAACGGCATCACGGTAAACTCATAATGTCCATAGCGCGTTCTAAATGCCGTCTTCGATATATTTTCCTTTCGAATTCTCAACTGGTGGTAACCTGTTCTCAGGTCTATCTTCGAGAATACCGAAGCTCCTTGAAGTTGGTCAAACAAATCATCTATCCTAGGCAACGGATACTTATTCTTAATCGTCACCTGATTGAGTTGCCGATAGTCGATGCAAAGGCGCAACGACCCGTCCTTCTTCCTTACAAATAGAACTGGCGCTCCCCAAGGTGATGCACTAGGACGAATGAATCCTTTGTCCAACAATTCCTGCATCTGAACCTTTAACTCCTTCAATTCCGATAATGCCATTCTATAAGGTGCCTTAGAAATCGGTTCCGTTCCAGGGGCCAACTCAATCACAAATTCGATTTCCCTTTCTGGGGGCAACCCAGGCAATTCCTCAGGGAAAACGTCCGAAAATTCTCGCACCACAGCAATATCTTGCATACCAGGTTCCTCTACCAAAGTGTCAATTACAGTCGCCAAATAGCCTTGGCAACCCTCATCCAATAACTGAGTCGCCTCGAGTGATGAGATTAAAGGGATCGAAGGTCCTCCTCGATTCCCGACAAACTCAAAACCGACACTCCCTATCGGCTCAAACCGTATCGTCTTACGATAGCGGTTTAAGTGGCTCGTTGCTTGGTGAGCCAATCCATTCCAATAATCACGTCAAAGTCGAACATCGTCAAAACAATCAAATCTATCTTTGTCCTCACGACCACCAACAGATAATCTACAACCAGTACAGCCTACTGCAGACACTATACTATTCTTTAAAGGGGTAGAAATATTATAAACCACTCCCAGCGGTTTCGGACTTAACCCCACTAATTCCACAAATTGCTTAGCCACAAATGAATGCGTAGCTCCAGGATCAAACAAAGCATAGGCAGCATGGTCGTGTAATGAAACCGTACCTGTAATGACGGCAGGCGAGTCCTCCGCCTCCTTCCTTGTGACAGCATAGACCCTTCCTTGCACTTGGGGTCGGTTCCACTGGTTCGGCGGGGCACTACTTGTAGGTTGTCCTACCTGCTGCATTGGTCTTTGCGCTCCCGCTGCCTGGCGTGGACAGTCTCTCACGTGGTGGCCGTGCTGGCCACATCCAAAACAAACTCCCGTCCTCATAGGGCAAGGGGCTGATCCATGGTGTCTTCCACAGAATCGACAGGGGCCATTATTGTTGTACACCGGTTTCCTCACGCCACCTTTCTTATTAGGAGGGACGTGGAACTTACTTCCTGTCATCGGTCTCTTCCCAAACCGATGATTATCCTTGTTTGGCACAAACCGCGATCCAGACGCGGCTGTCCTCTCAGCCAAGTTTCTCTCAATTAATTGCGCTCTTTCATACAGCTCATTATAGTCCTTCAGATTCAGGGGCACCAGTTGATCCTTAATCTCAGGTTTCAGCCCATCCCTAAACCTCCTTGCCTTGTCAACTGGGTCTTCAATCAACCTCGGGGCATATTGGGACAGCTCAGCAAACCTTGCCTCGTACTGGTCTACCGACAATTGGTTCTGCCGAAGACGCTGAAACTCATTCATCTTCTGCTCTCGAGCGCAGTCCGAAAAGTACTTATTATAAAAAGCTTCCACGAAGGCACCCCACACCCGGGCCGTACCTTCGGGAAATACCCTCCTCTGGGTAGCTTCCCACCAAGTACTGGCGTTACCTTGCAATTGGTAGACTGCCAGTGTCACCTTGTCTTCATCTGTACATCTCAGTAAGGCAAAAACCTTTTCCAACTCCCTAATCCAGAGGGTTGCAGCCTCAGGATCACCCGTGCCAGTGAACTTGGGCGGCTTGAGTTTCAGAAATTGCTCCACCAACTTGTGCATGGGCTGGTTCCCATTTCCATTGCCAGCTAACGGAACATCTACAGGCACAGGCGCAGGTGCAGGTGCAGGTACAGCAGCGGCAGCGGCGGCTTGATTCTGAGCCTGCTGCCCTATTAAAGTCTCTAAAGCCTGCAGGATCTGGTCCAATCTAGGATCCCCTGGTGCTCTCCTTCTGGCACCAGCCTGACCTGGTTCGGCCCTCCTCCTAGGGGCTCTCGGTTCAGGATTATCCATCTCGCAGGATCTTTACAGAAACCTGCTTTCCAATTCCAACAAGGAATTAGAATTCCTGAACAACTTGCTTACGAATGAAAAAGCTAACAACCAAACACAGGCACTTAGTGTCTTCCTAACTCACTATCCCAAAACCCATCGCACCTTATCACTCCAGGTCTCGACCAAACTTGGATCGAGCTGACCTTGCTCTGATACCAATTCGGATGGGGATGTCACGCCCCGAACCCCGCGGGCGCACGACATCCCGCTATGGTCGTTAAAATGCGACATCCCAGGACTCGTCGCCGACCCTTTTCTTTTTATCTTTGAATTACGCAAGCGGAAACGATAACCAACACAACAATCCCCAGACAATAATTAAATCAGGGATAGCAGAGGAAAACCAGACATGACAAAAAGCCATTTTAATATTCACTTGATTAACCCCTGGGAACATACTTACAGGCCCACTCCGGGCGTTTCCACAAAAACCAGCAAAAGACAAAGGTTAGGGTTAATCTACTCCATCCAAAAGATCAGCTTTCAGGCCTAACCCTCAAAGATCAACCAAAAACTGCGGTACTCCAAACCGCATAAGAAGCAACGACAAGCTAAGGTCCTGAAAAAGGTTTAACAACAACAAATGAGATAAAATCTCAATAAGTTAACGGCCTAAGCCCCGCTTAGGAGGCCAACTCGCACGGGGGTCCCTAAACAGGCGAAACGGCAACAACAACATCATTAACAACCACAGGCATCCTCACCTCGCCTTGGTACACACGTTGATGAAATGCATATGTCACATACTCGAAGCATTTAACGAGATTTTCCATGCATTAATGCAACATAGTCGCGCGTGTCTCGATTATAAGGCAAAACCCGCTGGCACGTCCCATACCATGCCTAGCAGTTTCTACCCCATAATCAAGCACTATGCATCACACGTATTCCAATTATTACGCCCTCGGGCCACCACACATCAAGCGATACGCAAGCAAGATGGCGGTCTACCGGTAAAAACCGGGCTCCGTCCCGCCCCGTCGGGCACGGCTACGTCAAACGATACACAGGATGACGGCATTCCAATACGGCAACATCAAACGATACACAGTAAGATGGTATCCCGTAAGGAGCATCGAGTCCGCCTCGGGCCGCGACAAGGCATCCGAGGGTATCGGCACTCCAGATTATCCCCGGGCATCCGATAAATCGGGCAACGTCAAGCGATACACAAGAAGACGGCTTTAACGTGTGACCACACGAGCACACAAGCATTCCGGCCAATTATTATCTTCTCAATTAGCCCATGCATACATGAATCGTGCTCTCCTCGATGTCATACAATAATACCAAGTGGCCACACATGCAAACAGTCAATCAATTCTTTCAATCTTCGATATCAAACACGAATATCAACCACAAAGTATCATTAACATTACTTGGCATAACAGAATAAAATAATTTAGTTTTCCAAAATGTCAAAATATTTCCTCGAATTGAAATCATTCAAATCATTTCCTAAAAATGTCAATTTATATGGTAAAATCCAACATTGGCATCACAATATGACGTTAGAAATTTTTCGAAAATAATAATATTTAATTTTCGGAAATTAATTATTTAATAATAAAATATTAATATTTAAATCCGAAAATAATAAAATAATATTTAATTCCGAAAACATTTCTATTTAACAAAATAATCAACAATACTAATATAATTGATAACCTATCACCACATTCGCGATAACTTATCGCAATCCAACAATAGTCTATCGAACTATTACCGATAACCTATCGCCTAATTCTAATTAACTAAACATAATCTTAATTAAACTTAATCTAAACTACCCTAAGCAAGTTTAACACCCTAAACACGGGATTAGGGGTTAACTTACTCGGCTAACGCCGGCGACGACGCGAGGACGACGGCGGCGACAAGGGCGGTCCGCGGTGTCCTCGGAATGCTCCGGTGAGCGACGAACGGGCGTGGCGAGGGGAGACAGCTCCTGTAGTGGCTGGTCGGGGCTGGTTCCAGGGCTGAACGGCGGCGCAAGGCGGTAGGCGGCAGTGGCTAGGCTAGTCACCGGCGAGGCGCGGTCAAACGAGCAGCAAGCAGGAGCAGAAGCCAGAAGTAGCGGCGTCGGGGGAGGGGAAAGCGGCTGGCGAAGCCTGTCCGCGGCGAACGAGCGCGGTGAAGAAACGGCCGCTGTGGGGCTGCTCCGGCGTGGCCTGGCTGTTCCCGACGACTGGGACAGCAGCGGCGACGGTCGGAGGTGGACGGCAGAGTCAGTCCCGGCAGCGAACGGAGCTGGGTAGGGCGAGCTCGGTCCGACGAGCTGCGGGTGTGGCCGGCGACGGGCAATCGCGGCGACGGGTGGCGACTGGGCCGACGAGAACAGGCCGGCGGTGGCAGCAAGTGAAGAAGCTAGAAGCAGCAGCAGCAACCAGCAGAAGTAGAAGCCCGAAGCAGAACGAAGAAGAAGCACATGCACGAAGAAGAAGCACGGCCAAGAAGGAAAAGAAGGAAGAAAAAAAAAACAGAGAAAGAAATAAAAAGGAAAAGAAATGATGGGCTTTGGTTGGGAATTGGTGGGAGTCAGAGGGGGAGTGGGTGAGAGTCAGAGGCGTGGAGGGGTGTCGGCGGGGAAGGGGGAAAAGAGAGAGAGAGAGAAGCAAAGGTCAAATCGTAATAATCGCGATCCAACGGTCACGGTTTAAACCCGAAAAACGATCCGACGGTCTCCGAAAAATCCTAATTAATATTTTTAGGATTTGGCCAAAAAGGGTGTTAATAAAAACACACTGCGAGGGTGGTCTACCAGTCCAAATTCGCACCCGGTCAAAAATTCACTTTTCACATATCCCGGGTAATATCGAGATTGGTCACACTAATATCGACACCGTCCAATTAAATTTGTTCCGGAATTCCAAGAAATTCAACACCAAAGTTTGGGCTCTAATTAACGGCCAAATTCGATCGAATGCGATTCTAGCGAAATCTCAATTTTAAAAACAATAACCGGGAGTGATCAGTTCCCGGGCGAGATTTTACTATAAGCACACTGATGAATTACACGTTTTATAAATCCCAAAAATGTGCCAAAATTCGGAATGTCACAGAAATCGTTTAAGTGAGTCAACCAATTTCCCTTTGAAAAATGAGAGGTGGAAGAAGCACCGTCACTATCGTGAAAAACGGCAGCACCGTCAACACCTCATTTCTCAATTCCAAATAACATTCCGGCTTTGGATAAAGGAATTGGCCGAAGGACGGTGCACCATGACCGAGGAGATCCAAGAGATGTTGGGTTCAAGAAAGACCCGGGCTTAGAGATCTATTTTAACGATCAAAAGAGAGCATCTAATCTCACATTTTGATTCTTCACGAGCTTTTATAGGCCCTCTCGAGGCCAAACCTATATACGGGACTCTGCTGCACTGATCCAACTCTTACCCCAATCTTCATTTCTACACCATCTTCTGCCTTATTACTACGTCATGGCAAACCTCAATGGGGAGTTCTAGCTGGACCGAAACCTAACATGTCTTTCGGGAGATAGAGATCACGGGTTGTTCGTGGAGGCTTACCCTGTTGGAAATATGTTGGAAAAGATGAATATAAGATCATCAGTAAGAGGCATGCAAACACTATCCTTAAGGATGATTCTGCCTCTCAGAGTATGAAACTTGGTGCAATAGACCTTACTCTTTAATCTATATTGAATAATAGAGAGAACGGGACCAACAAGATTATTAGTAAATCCTAGGAAAGGAAGAGGAAAGAAATGGAAGGGAAAAGAGAATTTTTGTTGATGAGTTTTGTGTATTTTGGGTGAGATTAAAAAAATAGTCATAAACATGTTGCACTTGTAATAATTTAGTCCTAAAACTTTTGACGATTTGTCGGTTTCATGTTCCAAAGCTGTCATTATTTTCCTTTTCCTTTTTTCGGGCAATTTTGGTCATCTTCGAGAGAGATTTATTTCCCCATTCCCCCAGGAGCATAATACACCACAGTTCGTTAAACGAACTCTCACCAGGACACACCACAAAAGGAAAGTATGAGATCTTTGGGTTACATTGGAAAATACTGCCACTGGCAGGACGCAGAGAGTATACACATAAACTAGTACAAAGTAACACTTTGTTCCTTTGACGGAAGAATGATATGCACTCTTATTTGAACATCAAATTGAAAGTAACAGTTATAGAGGTGGGAATCTGTTTCATTCCACACTATCAGCACACTACCTTGACCACTACTATTCCCTCGTCGCAAGCAACTGCAACCCTGCAGAGCGAAAGGCACAAAAAAATGGGACAATGGACACGGAAGATTTTATCTTTGTACTGAAACCGCAGAGTGCACATGAATGTCTTTATAGTGGCAATGGAAAACCTCGGAGCATCATAATCTCTTATCATTGTCAAAGCATAGGTATAACGAGGAAATGAAGCATTTAGACCAGGCATGAATGTTACCGGCACGATCCTTTCTGATATGCAATATCCCAAATCCTTCCATGACCGATTTTCAGTATGTGCTTAAGCCTGTACGTGACATGATGTTGGAGTCATTCGCAAAACAACCAAGCATCCAGGGACATAAACAGTCATATCCTGTGGAAAATCTGTAAAAGACAGAGGTGGTATTTTCATTCGACTTCTGTAATTGAAGCTGCATTCTAGAGCATGCTATAACTGTACAAATTCCGACAATGCATACCCGAAGCCATTTACATTCCACATACGAAGAGTCTCATCCTCTGAACCGGTGATTACAATAGGCAGCTCAGGATGCGCACATACAGCGGTAACATTGTGCTCGTGTCCCTTGAGTTTTTGTACACAGCTTTTGGCTTTATCGTCCCAAACCTGTACTTGTTATTTAACAAATCATATATCAATTGATCTCTTGCTAATAATGGACTGATATATTAAATTAAGAACGATAAAGTTTGCGAACCTTAGCAGTGTAATCATCGGAACCACTCAGTAAATAGAGCATATCATCCC